CACCCAGGTGCCCTGATTAGACCTCTTTTCTAGCATTCGCAGACTCACTATCCCCAGGTATGAGATAAGTCTTTCTCTCCTTTTTTTTTTTTAATGTTTATTTATTTAGTTTGAGAGAGGAAGAGAGAGAGAGAGAGCATGAGCAGAGGAGGGGCAGAGAGAGAGAGTCCTAAGCAGATTCCACACTGTCAGTGCATAGCCCCAGGCAGGGCCCAATGTCTTGAATGGAGGGATCATGACCTGATCTAAAACCAAGAGTCAGATGCTTAACCGACTGAGTCACCCAGGTGCCCAAAGACAAGTCTTTCTAAGACCTTCACAATTATTCTTAGTGAAGACTATTAAATTTAAGAGATGTCAATTCGTTCAGCAAAATGAAAATAATGATGGCCAGACTTAGAAGGATGTTAAACATAAGGCTATTCTGAATGTGTTTCATGACCTTTTAAGATGTGAACCTAAAAATGTATTCGTTTTAATACTGAGAAGGTTTAGCAGCATCTTGAGACATTTATATGTGCAGTTCCTTCTCTGTCAATTCCAGACTTGACCTTAAACTAATTTACGAGCCTCTGAGTACACATGTGACTGGAGGAGCAGGGCACCCATGCTTGTACGTGATGGATGGTTTGAGACAGTGAGGACACTCACTAGTATGGAGGTCTGTAGTTAGAGACCATACTTTTTTCTCTGATTCCACGATTGTGGTTGGGTGGCTTTCAGTGGATTAGTAAATAAAAAGGGAATAATGGTATCAACGCAGCTATTTCTTAGCTTCATTTCCCACAAGCCGGAGCTGATTTTCAGCCTCCATTTCTGGTGAGTTGACTGCCTTGAGCAGCTCATACCACCCATCACCTTTTTGCTTCTTAGTTTTCCGTCTCCACCATGAGACTGAGGAACAGTGGGCTAAGACCATCCCGGAATCACTTCAATCTGAAAAAAGGGAGGAGGGCATGACTGTGTGTGACACAATCACAAGTGGCAGGATGCCAGCCTACCCAATATGAAATACCAAATGATGTGACAGTAGGGATAATCAACAGTATTGAGTATCTTTGCATAACGGTGTGTAATATCCTAATAATGGCATTTCTTTATTAGTTCTTTAATTTCTTTAAGAATTTACAACCACAAGATTTTACTGTGAGACACTGAGTAAACGGAGAGCCTGGAGGGAATGCCACATTGTCGTCCTTTGTAAACATAATGGAAATGTTTAATGTAACCCCAGTGAAAACCGACAAAACAAGTAAGGATAACCAATAAACTTTTGAAAAAGAATAGTAATGAAGGAACATTGTATCATTAGAAATATTGAAACTTGTTTTAAAGCTAGTATAATTCCAACCAGGGCATTATGAAAGAACAGAAAATAGGATAATAAACAGACTCTGATTTTGGAATCAGAAGCTGGTATGTACAAGCTGCCCAACGGCTTTATACTCCCACCTCGATTGGATGTGGACGTCGTGGGAAAGGCAGCTCTGTGAAGCCGAGGCAATCCCTGAAGGGGCGGGCACCTGGAAGCTCTCTGCTGATGATACTCCAACAGCCAAGGGCAACCAGAATTTCCTGGAAGGGGCAGTTGAGTGCCTATGTCTTTCCATTGCAGCATCCAAATTCATTTGTTTGCGTACCTTTATCCTACACTTATAGGGTATTGAATTTAACTTAGCGCACAGCTGTCATCCCTTGTGCCTTTGTGGTGGCCGAGGATCAGAGTACTCAGAAATACCTCTCCAAAGGCTCTGATAAAGTTCTTATTCTTCCTTAGCAGTGGGCTGTCGCCCAGTGGTGTGACTGGAGGTCTTATGAAGGGCTTGGGTTTAGGAATGTGGTGAAGGTGGAAATGAAGGATGTATTGTGTGTATATGGTACACACATAATTCCTGGAAAGGAAATGTGAGGGGAGTTTGCTGGACCCTCTGGGGAATTTTTTTTCTCATTCTATAGAAGGGACATGTAACAGGATGTCCCATTTCTGCCACTGCACATTGCTGTCTATACAGGATGCTCGGAAGAGCAGTGGCTTTCGTGAAACCAGGAAGGGAGCCAGCCTAAGGGGATAAGAGAGGAGGGAGGAAAGACCCTGGGTCCTTTGTGATGCTGTCGAACAACTGAACAAAACAGACCCAACTTCTTGTCTTCACAGAGCTTAATGTGGGGCTGGGGGAAGGGGGACAGAATACAGCAAACACACGTATTATTAAGATATATAGTATATTAGAGGATGGTGAAGTGCTGTGGAAGGAAATAAAGCAGGGAAGAGGGGACGGGGGACTCTAGTGGAGGAGTGGTTGCAATTTTTAAAGGTAGTCAATGAAGGTTTCCCTGAGGAGGTAGCATTTGCCCAAAGATCCAACAGACACAGGGATGCAGAAGAGTGAGCATTCCAGGCAGAGGGAACAGTAAGTACAAAAGCCCTAACTAAGTGGGTTTGGGAAGTTTAAAGACTTGCTCGGGGCTTGTGTGGCTAGAACTGGGGACCCCCAGGAGAGTAGGGACATGGAGGTGAGTTCAAAGCAGTGTTGGGCCATCGCAGTAGACTGTGACCCTCCCTGTAACCCAGCTGGAGCTTTGGGGGTTTGAGGTGGGGGAGGGGGAGATGTGAACAGATCTTCGTCGCAGAGGCTCACGACGGAGGCATTGGAGAACAGGAGAACAGCAGTGGTAAGAGACTAGGACATGATTCAGGGTAATGCGGGTTCAAGTTCAAAATTGATTTACCTTGAAAAACTTGCATCAGAAGCCGTTTTGCTTATCCTAATGTGAGTACAAAGAAAAGCTTACTTGAGGGTTCTTATTAAATAAAATGCCATTCTTTCCTAAAGGGTCTCTGAGTATTTTTAGCAGCCTATCTGTACAAGATTCTACATTATAAGTACATTCCCCAAATCCTGTGAGGTTTAAAAGAGTAAATTTGATTCAGGGGTTGTGAGGTGGCTTTTATTACTAGAGAGAATTTTCCTAAATGTCAGTATACAGCACTGGTGTGGAAACATACTTTGCTTTTCTCCAAATAAATAAATAAATTTATCTGATCTTATTCCTGAATAAAGTTTTACATTTATTTTTTTTATTTTTTTTTTAACATTTATTTATTATTAATAAACAGAGAGAGACAGAGCATGAGCAGGGGAGGGGCAGAGAGAGAGGGAGACACAGAATCAGAAGCAGCCTTCAGGCTCTGAGCTATCAGCACAGAGCTCGATGCGGGGCTAGAACCCACAAACTGCAAGATCATGACCTGAGCTCAAGTCGGACGCTTAACAAACTGAGCCACCCAGGTGCCCTTAAAATTTTACATTTAATAAAAGGTATCCTTCAGCCTTTTGGTTTGGGTCTTTTTTCTTGTGAATCTGTGGCTCTAATAAGGGCAGTGTTCTTTACTTACTGGTGATAAATCCTGGGAACCATTTATAATAAGACCTATTGGACCAGCTATTATAAAATGACAGCTGTGTATGTGGCTCTCCAATACATGAACACATATAATAACTCATTTATATTGAAATAGTAAGTGTGCCTTTGACACCAGATACGATATTTTTTGGTCAGATATTCTCCTCTCTAGTTTGTTCATGGGTTCCTACCTGAGGTCAATACTTTCCTTGAGACTAAGAAACCAATGTCCTCTGAACCGGCTCTTTGGTTATAGACAGAAATCCTTTCACATCAAGAACGGTGACCTGTGGGGATCAATGTTGCATACTCTGAGATGAGCCAGCATCAACTTCAAATGAAGAAAACATCTATTTTTTGGAAACAGGATTTATAAATTAATTCTTTTGGATTCTCATTAAGTTCCAAAGAGTAAACATTCTGGGCTACCTTAACTTCACTAAGTTAGTGGCGGAGAGAGGAGACCAACATTTATGGAGTGTCTCCTGTATACAACTAGATACCACTTGAGCCTCGAATCCTAAGCTGGGTAGCCTCACCTTCGGTTTCAGGAGAGGTTGCTGAGGCTCATGGAGGAAATGTGACTTGCCCAAAGCCATTTAGTGAATATGTATGAAACTAGAATTGGTACCCATGTTTGGGGGACCTCACAGTCCCTGCTGTCTTCTCAGATGGGCTCATGAGTGAGGACAGAAGTAAACATTCTACGTTAGCTCAGTAAGTTTGGTTTCTCCAGAGTCTCATCTCTCAATCTGTTATTTCCATTGCTCCATTTGTACCTCAGTAGTCCTGTGCACAATAGAAAACTGGGGTCTTATGTCACTTTGCAGCTATATTACTGTGCTTTTTGTGTCGATTCTTTAATGTAGTGACTATTAACTATTAACCAAGCCCCTAAATTCCATTACAATCATATTAATTTTATTTCCATTTTAATAAGATGGACTTTTTAAAAAAATGTTTATTTATTTTCAAAAGAGAGAGTGCAGGTATGGGAGGGGCAGAGAGAGAGGAAGATACAGAATCCAAAGCAGGCTCCAAGCTCCGAGCTCTCAGCAGAAAGTCCAACACGGGGCTTGAACTCACGAACACAAGACCATGACCTGAGCTGAAGTCAGATGCTTAACCGCCTGAGCCACCCAGGTGCCCCAATAAGATGGACTTATATATATCACACTTTAAAACATTTTGGAATATAAACCCTTCTCCTTGAAATTATGAAACATCCGTTTGCAATTAAAATCACAAAACTAGTGATATTTAAAGAGTGTGTAATATTACGACAAGAATTACGTTTTATTATTTGTACCTAAGGGTCTAAAAAGGAGTCATTATTGATTTATAGGAGGAGAACTGATTAAGGAGCAGTCAGCCAGCTCTTTAACAATATTGGAATTTTTATTGCAGAATTATTGTGTTGACTCTGTATCCTCTCTTAGATGGTCTCATGATTGCTTAAAATTAGCCTGGTCTAAATTTCATATCGAATTTGGCGGGGAAAAGAGTTTGAAAAGATAACGTCATGAGTTGTTTTCATCTTAATTGTCATGTTGTAATTTTCCCTCTCTCTCTCCATTTGTGTTTTTTCCCCTTAGGAGAAAAATTCAAAGTGGAAACAATGACCATCGCTGTTGACTTTGCATCTGAAGATATTTATGATAAAATTAAAACAAGCCTGGCAGGCCTGAAAATTGGTGTTTTAGGTTTGTATCTTTCCCACATTTACAGATTCTTCTTACATTCACTATTTGACTTTTACTACAACTGTACATTTTCTTTTTGTATCTTAGGTATTCAGTTGGTAAAATGAGCAGTAAGAAGAAAATGTTAATACAATTAATCATTAGATGGCATTAATCTATATACATTTGGATCTTTGTGTTTTAGTTCTATTTAGTGACTATTTTACAATTTTGGTTGTTTTTTCTGTCCACATTATTTTCCATCTCTCATTCTCTTTATATTTAATATGGTTCTATCATATTAATTCTTTAAGGTAGGTAATAATGACCCATTTTTGACAGTTGAGGAAATGGAGGCTAACGAAAGTTTCTCAACCTTTTTTTTTGTTACCACCCTTCTCTCACCCAAAGAGCCTTTTTAGACATTACTTTCCCCTAATCTTTCCTCTCATGAAGTTTTAACACCACAGATACACTGTTTGTCTTATTTATGTACTGTGTGTATATCTGTGTCTTAACAAAAAGTAAGATCTTATACTGCCGACCCCCTGAGCCAGTTTTTGTACCATTGGGAGAGATCACCCCAGCTGAGACTATGTGGCTAAGTGAGAGTTTTGCCTAAGGTCAGGTGAAGACCAAGTAGTAAATTCAGGATTCTGCCCTCTATTTTTTTTTTTTCCAAGTCTGCTACTTCATTTGGTTATATCTTGGGTACCTCACTCTCATTACTAAAAAGCGATGCTTTTGCTGAGATACGGCAAGTGTTGAATATTATTATGGACAAGAGTCACCACACTTTAAGGGGAAAAAATGGGCTCTGTGAAGGTACTCACCACTTTCTGATTCATTTCCAGAAAGATGCAGAACATCTAGTACAGAAAAACTGCTTCCTCACTAAATCTCTTTATCCCACTGCCTAAATTGGTGTGAACCTGGTTGGTTATTGTCATCATTTACTTTTGGGGGGTATCGGAGAAAAAAATGAAGAGAAAATACCTTTCAAAAAAATGTCTATTTTGAGAGAGAGAGAACAAGAGAGAGCACGAGCATGCATGCACACAGGGGTAAGGGGCAGAGAGAGAGGTAGATAGAGAATCTCCAACAGGCTCCATGCTGTCAGCTCAGAGCCCAACTCAGGGCTCAATCCCATGAACCATGAGACCATGACCTGAGCCAAAATCAAGAGTCAGACGCTCTGACTGAGACCCGTGTCGGCTCTGAGCTGACAATACGGAGCCTGCTTGGGATTCTCTATCTCACTCTCTCTCTGCCCCTCACCCCCACAAATATGCTTGTACTTTCTCCTTCTCTAAATTAGAATGAGCTTAGAAAATAATGTTTCCGAACATTTCTTTAGTCAAGGCCCAACTCCCTTCCTCATACTATAAGAGTGGTCTTTTATATACTTTCTGGATAAGACAATAAAAGAAAAGAGTTACATATATGTAGCCTACGTAGTGCCCATGGACCTGCAGGTCACCCTGGCCTTGACATGCTATCTTCCTCAACTCCTGCCTGGTGCATATCACATAGCAGCACACTCCTGCCTGCCCACTTATAAGAGAGCCCTTGGCAAACAGTGAATGGAGACATGGCTCTGGTTTTTGCCATTGTGTCTACATGTTCTTCTCTAAATACATACATTGCCGGAATCTTTCACAAATTCCTCTTCTTTAGACTAGTTCTGGGATACCCAGAACACCACTAACATCTATAAAATTCTTGTCTTATTAAACTTCCTAATCAGTAGCGGCTGTAACTTACTAGTTAGGATAAACAGGGCCGTTGTCCATCCTCAGCCCTTTCAAACAGTTGTGCATGGACTGGGGAATGAATGAAGGCTGGCTTAGGCGCAGGGGTAGATTGAGGATCCCTAATGAGACGAGATTTGTCTTGAACTTCTGTTCATGGAGAATAATTTTCTTTCAGAAGTAGTTCATGATTGTTTAAAGCTTTGTATAACTTTTAGCTGCTTTTCACTGAGTAACTCTGAAACTGTAGATACTCTGAGACCATGGCGTTGAAGATGGAAAATATCAGGCATCGTTGTCCCACAAGGCTGGAGGATTATAAAAGGCACTGAGCTGTTCCTTCCTGACCCAGCATATAGGGAGTTTAGAGTGTGAGTGTAGGCACATGGAGAGATCTGTGAAGGATGAGAGTACAGGGCGTGTGGTGCCCAAGCACATTTCCCCCACTTCTAGAACCCTAGGACTTGTGTCCACACCGACATGCTGTATTTAGACATAAAGACTGATGCTTTCCAGGCCTCATGGGAATGGAACCCTTGTTCTCACAGGCCGGCTCCTTAGTAAAGTGCAACCTGTGAGGTAGCAGTTTGTACCCTCGTCACGCTTTCATTCATTCTTTCCTCAAAGAACCAGAGACATGGCAACAAACAGGAAAGTACCTGCCTTCATGTAGTATAATGTTCTAGTAGGAGAGACGGCACTTTTGAGAAGGGCAGGGCTTGGTGTAGTAAGAGTATAAAAGGGAAGGGGGTGTTGCTATAGGGTGCAGTAACGGTGACTTGGCTGGGCAATGGGGTGGGAGAAAGGAGGATTCCAGAAATATGAAGAAGTAAACGACGCAGAACGTTGTGCGAGATTTCAAGGGGGATGAAGAAGAGAGCACTCATGGATGGCTTTCAGGTTTCCGGCTTGAGAACCTGGTCAGTGGGGCCAGTACTCAAATGGGGAATCCTGAAGGAATGTTGTTCGGAATGAGGATCATTTAAGTTTGGGGTTGTTAAGTTGATAGTCGTATTTATGGATCTAGGACTTATTTATTATTTATTTAGGACGCTCTCTTTTTTAAGTTTATTTATTTTCTTAGTAATGCCTACAGCTAATGTGGGGCTCGAATTCATGATGCTGACATCAAGAGTCCCATGCTCTACCAACTGAGGCAGCCAGGCGCCCTGGATCTAGGTTTTAGCTGAGCTCTGAGTTTGGAGATGAGTTATCTGTAAGTGGTAATCTGATTGAAACATCGAAACTAGAGAGATCATCTAAGGCGAATATAGGGGATGTAAAAAAAACACTGAGGACAAAGCTCTTTGGAGTTCCCTTCCCAATCTGCAAAGAAAGGCTGCTTGGAATATTAGTGTGAAGGAGGGATAGTTTTTGCTCAAGTTCAGCACTTGTCCAATAGAAATACAGAAACATAACATGAGCCAATGTGTAATTTTAACTTCTCTAACAGCCACATTTTTGCAAAGTAACAGATAAAGTTCATTTTGGCTCATTTTGATTATTTTATTTTAGCCCCCCCATATCCAAAATATCACCTTAGCATGTAATTCATATAAAAAGTTATTGAAATAGCTTGCATTCTTTTTCTCATACTAAATCTTCCCGTTTACGTATATATTGCACTTGCAACATTTCTCAATTCCAATTAGCCACATTTTAAGTATTCAGTAGCCAAATGTGCCCAGTGAGGGACGTCTTTGCTCCAGTTCATGCTGGCTGTGCGTCATCCTTAGGTTGTGTGAGTGAACCATGATTTCTACCTTTTTTTTATGCTTTAACGTGGTTTTCAGCCAGGAGCAATTTTGCATTGTCTGGCATTGTCCAAAGACCCTTCTAGTGGTGACTAATTGAGGGAGAAGGTGGAAGACGTTCTACTAGTCCTTAGAGGGTCAGGTCTAGTGGGTCAGGAAGCTGCTAAACATCCAATGATGCAGGGGACAGACTTCCACAGCAAGGACGTCACCTAAAATCTCAGTAGTAGTGCCGAGGCTGAGAAACCCCGCTTTAAAGTTACACTGTAATTTAACTGTTCTGATTGATTACTTATCGACACACACACACATACGTAACTACATGCATAAATTTCTATTTGGTGACAAATCAATAATAAAAATGTAGCTTATGTTTGCATAATCCTTTCATATTTGTGGCACCGTCTTCACATTATCTTTTTAACTGGCTGAGTGTTTCATTTTCTTCCTACTCATTCACAGCCGTCTTCTTAATCATAAGGCATAGTTATTGACAATTATTAGCAGACAGACTGATACTGCATTGTAATTTTAGTTTGTCAAGGTTTTGGAGGAAACTACTAAAACACCTTAAATATAAATATAAAACACCTTTATGAGCTACATTTTATCGCCAGGTCATATTTCAACTCTAATCTTATAGTTTCTCTAGTTGAGAACAGGTTATATTGTAGAACCTGTTGTTTGGGGGGGGGGCAGGATCTGATGTTTATGTTTCCTTTTTCTTTTTAAAAAAATGTTTTTAAATATTTATTTATTTTGGAGAGAGAGACAGACAGAGCGTGAGTGTGGGAGAGGGAGAGGGAGAGGGAGACACAGAATCCAAAGCAGGTTCCAGGCTCTGAGCTCAAACCCATGAGCCGCGAGATCATGATATGAGCCGAAGTCGGACGCTCAACCAACTGAGCCACCCAGGCACCCCGGGTTTCTTTTTCTTATTATTCCCTGGGTATGTAGCTCATTTACCTTCTTCCCTCTTTCCTCCTCACCCAGATCCCACATACCCCAACCTCTGTCTCATGAGGAGGAAATAATCTCATTTATTCTCCTGCCTCCTTTGCTTAATGTCATGGCCTCACCTTTCTTACATTTCCTAAATAATAAACATGTAGATGGATTTCTAGTAAGACCTAGCAATCTATTTGAAGGCATAGGAAGGAATTTTTTTCTACTGAGTATTAATGAAACTGGTAATGATAAAAGGAAAAATAAATCACCAAGGTATACTCCATTTGTTTGAGTAGCATTAACCACCAAAATATATAGTCAGTGCTTAATAAAGAAAATTAGTATTGTCAGAATTTCAAAGGAAAATGCTAAAGCCCTTTGTCATGAAAGAACATCAAGTTTTCAATAAGATAAGCAGTAAGAAAATGGCCGTGAATTGTTTGAATTTATACTGAAAGGTCACAGTAACTTGATAAGACTATAAATGCTTAAGGTTGAGAAGTTGGATTCTTAACTCCGTTATGTAAAATAAGCAAGCATCTGTTGTCTTCTTTCAGGCAAATGCCAA